ATTTTTTCCCCTGGTTACTGTTATCCTAGTTGATGATTGCTCCCTTTGACTGCTTAATTCCTCTCCTAGCTGCCTTCTCACCTCCTGGGTGTCCCCTCTTCTAATTCAGTCCCTTCATCTCTAGATTAATCTTCCTAAAATATAGTTCTGGTACTTTCATTCTCCTGCTGAAAAGCCAATCAGGGGCTTTTTATTCAAAGACTTTGGTGTCCAGAATCTGATCTCAACCTTCCTTTCTACTCTATTCCTTTGTATAACCTGCCTATATTCCTGTAAATGAATAAGGAAGGTGTTAACCACAAAGGCAAAGAAAATAGAAAAAGAGACAATGCCTTATAAAAGAGTTTAAAAATTTTTAACAAATTTTGGAAACAGCTTAATTAACCATCAGAAGGGAATGGACATAATGGAATAGTGACAATAAATGTACTATGTCTGCATCAATAATTCTCAAAGACATGGTGCTTAGTAAAAAAAGCATTATAAAAATATGTGGAATGGTCACATATGTGTAACATTTACAACTACACAACATATATTGGTTGTACCTATATACATGTAGAAGTATAAAATTATTAGAGAGTGTTACCAACTTCAGGACAGTGACTATTTATGATGAGAGAAAAGGAAGAGAAAGGACTAGAGGAAAGTAAGTTTTGGAGTCCATTTACCCTGATTCACTGCTGGGCTCTGTAATAGTCAATGTGACCTTGGGTAAGTCACTTAATCTTTCCATGCTTCTGTCACCTCATGTATTAAACAGGAATAATAGTAGTACCTATTTCATAGAGTTGTTGAGGACTAAATGAGAGAATCTCTGTAAAATGCATAGAATAGTACCTGGTACATAGTAAGCATTAAATAAATGATAGTTACAATTTCCATTAAGATTTCCCTCTTTTTCCTTTTTCTCTACCTGTTTAAACTCTAGTCTCCCTTCAGAGCTTAGATCAAAGGTCATCTCCTGCATGGAATATCCCTTAATAATTTAGCTGGAGGATTACCACCTCCCTTTGAATTACTGAACCACTTTTGTTTCTTGATTCAACAAGCATTTATTAATATTAAGGACCTGCCATGTGCCATATACTATGCTAAGACAAAAATGAATTATACATTCAAAAGAGCTTTCTTTCAATCTAGAAGAAAAAATAGACATCAAAACAATTAATAGAAGGACTCAGAAGTGTAAAACACTATGGCTGTAGAATTGAGTACAATGAGAAAAGGCTGCAAATGCAGCCGCGAGGGGTTAGATACTGAAGAATGTTGTGTGTAAGCTAGACAGTATGGACATTATCTTGTAGATAATGGAAAACTATTGATGAACTTATAAGGAGAAGAATAGACTGTACAGATTTCTATCGATGAACTTTTAAGTAGTATAATAGACTGTCCAGATTTCTATTTGAAAATAATTCTGGTGGAAAGATTGAGGCTGGGAGTCTATGCAGAAAGCTATTGAAATATTTCAACAAGATATGATGAGGTCTTAAGATAACTGTTAGTAGGATTAATTTGAGAAACACTTAAGGGGTAGATTTGTGGGACTTTAATTCAAATGGAAGCATCAAAATCCCACAGATTCTCAAAAGAGAATTCAGAATAAAGAAAATGATGGCTCCTTGACTAGCCTTTAATAAAAAATAAGAAAGGAAGAGAAAATGATGACTCCAATTCTCCAAATGATGACTCTCCATTCTCCAAGTTTCTGGTTTCAGTAACTGATGAGTGGTAATGCTGTTAACTGAGAATAGAGCAGTCAAGAGGATTAGCAGATTTCTTGGTTATCTGATTTTGGTCCTAGTCAACAATATTGTAAAATTACAGTCTAAGAACCCATTTTTGTTCATTTGTTGATGCTTTGTTTCAGTCATTGAAATATCTACTTGGATACTGAATGGGCATCTTAAACATAGGTCCAAACCTGAATTCTTCTTTTCCTCAAGCTTGCTCCTTCTATGGTGTTCATCATTTTCCTCATAGATGATATCTCCATTCTTCCAGTGGCTTAGGCTAAAAACTTTGGATTCAACCTTGACTCCTCTCTTTTTCTCACATCTCGTCTCACAGCCAGTCCTAATACTAAGTGACTCTACCTTCAAAATATATACCACGTCTCACCACACCCACTGCTGTTTGCTATAAGCCACTGCCACTGTCATCCTTCTTTACATTCTCATAGTCTTTTCTGCTTATAGATTTTAAAAATAAGTCAAGGTATACTTAATGCCACCAAATTGCATACTTAGAATGGTTAAAATGACAAATTCTATGTTTATTTTACTGCACACAAAATAGTTTTTAAAAAGGGTCAAGTCATGTCATTCTCTATAAACTCTCCAGTGGCTTTTCTCTCTGAGTGAAGCTTAGGTCTACAAGAATCTACATAATCTGTTCCTCCCGCATCCTCACCCACCGCCTTAGACCCCATCTCTTACCACTTGCCCCGTTTTGTCCCCACTGGGGTGACAGTGGCCACTTCAGACTCCCCAGTTAGCCTACTGCTTCAGATCATTTGTTTCCCTCCATCTGGAGCATACTTCCTCCCTAAATTTCTACACAGTCAGCTTAATCATTTTCTTCAGGTTTCTTCACGGACCAGCCTGTGTATAAAATGGCACCGCCTTTCCCCACCCTGTCACTCTCTATCCTTCTTATTCTGCTTTATAATTCTATAGCTATTCATGTCACTCATCGCCCTCTGTCCCATATATTTATATATTTATTGGGTTTTTATTTAACGTCTATCCCTTCCTTAGAATGTAAGTTTCCATGAAACAAAATAGAATATAAGCTCCCATTATATCTTTTCCAGTTAGCAAAATGCTTGGCATGCAGACCTTGCTCAATAAATATTTGGTGAATAAATTAATAATGAATGTTATCCCTTGACCCATTAATACTGTTTTTTAAAAATGCATAAACAATAGAATATTTTGTCATTTAGTAAACAGCTGTGCCAACAACTCTAAGCTTTCTGGAGTTATCCAACCATAAGTGTTACTTTATTTTCTGGTTTGATCAGATCTATTTTTTGTTTTTAATTAATTTTTTATTTGAATATTTCAGTCATTCATTTACTCTTTGTATTTATTTGGCATCTTTAAATAAAATTTGTAAAGTAAATAATTAAGTAATTATTGCCCTGTACTCTGAATTGAAAGCATAATAAAGAGGAAATAAGGGACAGGATTCTTATATTTTAGACCCTCTAAGATTAATATTCAGAGCTTTTCCTCTGAACATAAAAAATTAAAACATATTTGAAATAATGTGAATTTCTATTGCCAAAATTTATAAATTTAAATACTTTAGTTAAGCTTTGGCAATAGAAATTCACATTATTTCAAATATGTTTTAATTTTTTATGTTGTAATGGTACATTTTGCCCTTGGTAATATTGACAATACAGGAATCTTTCTTTGCTGTATTCATATACACATACATAGCTAAAGGATTTCTGTGTTAACATTGCTAAGTGAAAGACATACCATTGTGATTTTTATGTTATCATCAAGTACTATGACAAACTGTATAATAGTAAACATAACCTTTGGGGAGCAATAAAATGACAGTTAATAGTACTGTATTCTAAAAATGAAATACTTTAATTGGGTAATTGCTTTCCCAAAGTGTGTCATTTTACCACAGTAAGAAAAGAAAACCTGTGTTTTATTTAAACAGAATCAGACTGATCCTGTTCTCTTTCCCCTCCTCCACAGGTAGCTTTGGATATGTTAAATCCTCAGGTTGCTTTGCCTGTTTTATATCCAAATCTTAAACAGGGTGGTGTATGTGCTGTATATCTAGCAAAGTGAGTAATGGGGCTGTTTTTCCGTGTAATATGATTTTTAAATACATTTTTATTTTGCCTAAGTACCAAACTAAAATGTTCATTTTGTAACTGAGTAAGGTGTATATGTCATCTTGTAAAAGTGTTATAAAATGACACGTGTCCCAAATTCATTTATGTTGCTGTTTAAATCATCCTTTACATAAATATTAATCTAAGATGCAGATTTCTTCTCACAATTTGAAAGAAAAGTTTTAAAAGTGTAATGTGAACAGTAATGTTCAATTATGGTCTCTGTATTATTTTATTTACTTTTCTGTGAAGTTATTTATTATGTGCCCTAACCTGAATTTTCAACTCCCCCCTCCTTGATTTAACTATAGCATTTAAATTTGGGTAAGAGGTATAGTGAATTTAAAGTAAATATAAAGTTGTTATTTAATAGGAATGTAAAGTACATTTTTCACTTTTCTGAAAGCATCACACAGGTTATTGAACTTTTAGATGGAATTCGCATCTGTGAACTTGCTCTTTCATGTGAAAAGATAAGCGAGGTCATCATCAGAGATTGGTTAGTTTGCCTCACAAAACAGAAAAATGGAACTTTACCTCAAAAAGTAGAACCTGAAATCAACACAGATTTACAATTACATTCTCAAAAGAAAATTGGAGTTGAAGGTGAGATGTTTCAAGAGGATGATGATGGTGAGCTTCAGTTTTACTTTATGCATGTGCATGCAATAATAAATAGAGAATGGGTTCCTGAATGTATTGACCAAGAGGTTATAAAAATATTCATCAGGAATTTTCTTTTTCATGTAGAAATTGAAAAGTGGTATTTATTCTGTTAAATTAAAATATATAAAGGACAGAATAATAACTTTTCCTGATTTTTATGTAAAACTGGTACCTTTGAAGAATTGAGCTTCTTATAATATTCATATTTCACTTGTCATAAGGAGCTTGGTTTGTGAAATAATTTAAATATACTAAGGAATGTTTTTAATTTAGATCAGTGATTATTACTGACGAGAATGAATTTAATAGGACCTGATAAGCAGATAGCTAATATTCCGAAAAGCAACTTCTAAGATGCCGCTGGAGTTCTTTAAAGAACTAAGTTTAGGTCCTTGCTGTATGTATACATTATTTAGGCCATGGACAAGTTTTCAAAGATCCATGATTTATGATATGGGCTTATCCATTTGGTTATAAAGCCATATAGAAGTTTATCGTGTAATCATTGACAAATTGTTTTTGTGCAATAACTGGCAAAGTAATTTTTTAAAAAATGCTAGAAAAAATGACTGAGGAAAAAAAACTTATACAATAAAGGGAGACTAATTTATATTTCAACAGTTTTTGTGAACAAATTATAAAATATTTTATGTAGTTTTATAGTACATATTTTGTTTTACAACAGAAGAATCACATTCTGCTTTTCCATATGGATCATTTCCCTATATTGCTAGACCTACACACTGCCAAACTGGTCATACAGGTGAGTAATGTTTTCAGACCATATTAAATGGTGTTTTTTCCCTTCTAATTAATGTAATGACCTACTTTTTTCTTCTCTTAAATTAGCTTTTCTTGTCAAATTGAGGAAGGTCAAACTGCAATTTAACTGAGTACCCCAGATGACAGCAACTGATTTGAAGACGGAAAAATTTCAAAATAGAACTTTGTATTGCAAATCACTACTTTCATAGATTGGTATCTTTACCTATTACTATGATTTTTGTAACTTTTACATATAATTTTGAAAAATAACAAAAGCTAAAGAAAGATGTGTAACGTAAAAAACTGCTTAAATGTCCATTTTAACACTTGTCTTGCAGTTAGTTTGACATTTTGTAGTTAATGATTCCAAGTTGCTTTAGTTGAGCCAGCTCATTCTTCACTTCCTGTAAACCACTCCATGGATTTGTCTTTCTTCATGACATTAGTATTTTTTCCTTTGTTTGATTGATGGTCATTGGCTACTGAAACAAAATATGCATTTTAAGATAAATTTAATGTATTTGTATATTTTAAATACATTTTGTAATGGCTTGGATGTATCTTAGAAAATAATGAAGAAATCTGGATTATAGTAAATAATAGGGGGAAAACTCATAAGAGTGATATAATAATTTGTTTTTCATTTAATATGTGCAACTTATATTTAAGGTTATCCATATTTTACAGATATACAGCAGCTTAGAGTGGTTAGGTTATTGTTTAAATATAGATGTTTTATAGGTTTTAAAGTAGTAATGCCTGGGGATGTAAGTTCTGCTATTCCTAGATTTATCGCTTAGGCTAGAACTATTTAAAATTATATGTACATATGCGTAAAATTTTGTAATAACATTTTATAGAATGTGGAAAATTTTAACCTAAAATCTCTGCCTTTATAGAGTTTACAATGTATGGTAGAGCTAGACATTAAATAATCACACAAATTTAAAACTAAAATTGTTATAAGTGCTCTAAAGAAGTACAGGGTCCTGTGAGTAACCATAATAGGGGTTTTGCTCTAACAAGTGACAATCAAGCTGAGACCTGAATGATAAATAGTAATTAACTACAGCACAGAAAATGAGAACAAAAAAAGCTAATGATGCTGGGGTTGAATGAAAAAGACAGGAAAGATAGATAGGGGTCAGGCCATGCAGGATCTTAAAGGCCTGTTAAGGAGTTTGTCTATTCTAAGAAAAGTAGGATGCCATTGAAGAATTTAGGTAACAGGTAACATGGTTAGATTTGTATTTTGAAAAAAATCACTCTGGCTGCGTTTGGAGAACTGATTGAATGAGGAGCAGAGTATTCTCGTGGTATAATTCTGTATGATAACTATCTGAACACATACACAATAATAATGCCTTTATGGCTTTCATGACATTTCCAGAGACAGTCATATATTGCTTAACAACGGGAATACATTCTGAGAAGTGCCTTGTTAGGCGATTTCATTGTTGTACAAATGTCATAGTGTACTTACACAAATCTACATACCTAGGCTATATGACATGGCTTATTGCTCCTAGGTTACAGACTTGTACAGCATGTTACTGCACTGAATGCTGTAGGCAATTATAGGACAAAGGTAAGTATTTGTGTATCTAAACATAGAAAAGGTAATGTGTTACATTATGGTGTTACAATGGCTACAACATCAGTAGGCAATAGGAATTTTTCAGCTCCATTATAATCTTATGGGACCACAGTCACATATATGTTCCCTTGTTGACTGAAACGTTGTTATGCATGACTGTACATAGAAGCTCTGAAGTACATTTTTAAATTCCATCATGGAATACTTCCTTTTCTTCTGCCCTTCTATTTAACTAGTAGTGAAATTCTGTCATTCATTTAATGTTCTCAATGCTTATTATATGTCAAGCCCCAATTGTTTACTTGGAGAAGAGGCTGGCTTAAAAGCAAAGTGGTCGGGTATGGGGGCTCACATCTGTAATCCTAGCACTTTGGGAGGCCTAGGTGGGAGGATTGCTTGAGGCTAGGAGTTGGAGACCAGCCTGGTCAACATAGCGAGACTCTATCTCTACAAAAAAAAAAAAAATAGACAAATTAGCCAGACATGGTATGCATTCCTATACTCCCAGCTACTAGGGAGGCTGAGGCAGGAAGACTGCTTGAGCCCAGGAGTTGGAGGCCGCAGTGAGCTATAATGATGCCACTGTACTCTCACCTAGGCAACAAAGTGAGGCCCTATCTGAAAAAAAAAAAAGTTCTGCCCTTTACTCCTATTTCATATAGAATGCTTTGTTTCTGTCCAGCACATTGTGCTCAGTAGATGCTGAATTGAACAAGATCTCCCTACCAGTATCCGTTTGAGTTTTTTTTCTTTTTTTTGTAGTTTTACCTCCACTTCTCTCTCCCCTCTCCCCACTTTTTTTTCTGTAGTTGCCCATTCTAGTTTTAAGTTGAGTTGACGACCACACTACATGGGCAAATATGCATTTATTTATATAGTTAATCAAGACCTAGCTTAACCCCTTTCTTCAGCCTTCCTTCAAACACTAAGTATGTTTACAATCTGGCTTATGGGACAGATACCTTCTAATGTTAGTATTCTATGTCCATGTGTGGGTCTCCTTTATCATACTGTAATCTCTGGAGATTTGAGACTGAAAACTGTCTTCCTAATGCCTTCAAGAGACCCTACCTTTTCTTCCCAGTAAATGATCACTAAAAGTTTGCTGATGGCTTTAAGCCGACACTGAATCATGTACTGTTTCATCTGTTGACGTGGTCGTTTTAGGGGGATATTTAGGTATATAGGTCTGGGATCATGGAAGGCTTTCATTTTGAATTTTGTATTTCAGAGGAAGTGGGAACTTCTGAAGATTCCATGGTCATGTAAGAGGAGATATCTTTAAGAAAGTTAATCTGTTGGTGATATCTATGACTACTTAAGTGGAGGAAAAGAAATGTTAAAGAGATCATTATAATACATTTATGAGGTGATTAGTAGTAGAAAAGGGACAGACAAAAAATATTGTGAAAGAAAACTAGATAAGCTAGTAATACAATGGATACAGAGAGAAAGAATCTATGTATAGGGACTCCTTGACTTAAGATGGAGTTGAAGTTACGTCCTGATAAACCCATTAATTTGAAAATATTGTAAGTTGAAAATGAATTTAATATAGCTAACTTACTGAACATCGTAGCATAGCCTATCTTAAACATGCTCAGAACACTTACATTAAGCTATGATTGGGCAAAATCATCTGGCAATGCAGTACACTGTAGAGTATCAGCATTAACCCTCATGATTTTGTGGCTGACTTGGAGCTGCAGCTAATATATTACTTTCTCTGAAAAGCCTTCACCAAATCTCTCACCCCTCAGAATTAATTCTAAATCTTTTGTGTTCCTTATCACATTATTAATTTATATGCCCTGATTATGCCTTCATTAGGTATAAGGATTTTAAACCTGGATGACTAGAACAGTGGTAATGACAAAAATAAATAAGAAAATTCAAAGAAGGATTTATTTTTGAGGAAAAATTATTTGGCTTTAGATTCCTTAACAGCTGAAATGTTCCATGCCTGCTTACCTGACCCAGGGCTAAGACTTGGTCTATATTTTTCCCTTGGCTTCACTCTAAGATCTCAGGGGTCATGAGATAATATGTAACAACACATACCCATGTTTCACTTGGACCAGCCTAGGTGTCATAGGGCTTACAATAGCATAGGGTAAAGAGAAACATTAGTATAAAAATGTACTGTGTATCCAGATAGATCTGGCCTCCCATCTTGTTTTTGTTGTTGTTTTACCTGGTAACAGTGTGACTTTTCTGAGTTTGTTTTTTCATCAGTAAAAGGAGTATAATAATGCTACTTCAAGATTTCTTAGGGGGTTGAGTGTTAAATGAGATTACCTTTATAAACTGCCTAGCACATGATTGGTGATTATGACGTATGTCAATTTGTAAAGAACGCCTCTTTTATCCGCCACAAAAGTGAAATGTTTTGATAGTGTTTTCACCCCACCTTGTCAAATTGAAAAACATTTTGTTCTTAATAAATGTCATAAACATGTTTATGTAAAACTTTTTAAAACATGTTAAGAAAAAAAATTGTAAAGGTAGAAAAACATGTTTTTACCTGAAAATCGAGAAGTTTCTTGTATTTGAAAGAAAGGTGGAAGCATTGATAACTATCTATGCTTAAGTTATAGCACAAAAACCTGAAGCAGAGCATAAGCTTTTTGTGTCTTTTTTAGAGAATGCTGAATTGAGTTTTCTGTGACCGCAAACTATCAAGTGATTCCAACCTTATGTGGACTGGAGGAAAAATTTTGCTAGTAGAGGTCACTACTGGGAATCAGCAGCTGCTTATTAGACAGTGAGAGACTGACCCCACTCCTGATAGCATCATGTGTTCATATTGCCCTACCTCCTCCCATACCCCTAATTGGGTCACTCTCTGTTAAGCCTATTGGAGGAAAATGAATGTATATTTTACTGGTCAAATATGTGTGTGAGCAATAATTTTTCTTTAAAATTAGCAAGGCGTGGTAGCATACACATCTAGTCCCAGCTACGTGGGAGGCTGAGGCAGGAGGATTGCTTAAGCCCAGAAATTTAAGGTTGCTGTGAGCTAGGCTAATACTACAGCACTCTAGCCCGGGCAACAGAGCAAGAGGATTCTGTCTCCAAAAGAAAAAAGAAAAAATTTATTTGTATTGCTGACCCTCTGACATCCTGAAACAAAGGGTTTTACAGTTAACCATGAGTTAATACTCAGAATAAAACAGTGGTGGGTAAATACTCTTCCTTCCTGTGTAGGACCTATAAATCCTGTCCCTGGATGAAAGCACAGCTCCTTCTACAACTCCCCTAAGTCACTACCCCAGTTTTCATCCATAATCCCGCAAAGACCTGTTTCATTTTTTCAAAGCACACTGACTGGCAGAGCCCCTTCCTCCCTGCCTGGGTGCACTCAATTTTCCTGTTGAGGTGTCAATGTCTATAATATAGTGTACTACTATTGATATCTACAGAGGCTAGTCTGAATAAAATATAACTGTTTTTTTCTTGCTTTCTGTAAATATATGTTCAAATTGTAGTTGGAGGCCAGCTGCAGTGGCTCATGCCTGTCTGTAATCCCGGCACTTTGGGAGGCCTATGTGGGAGGATCACTTGAGGCCAGAAGTTCAAGACCAGCCTGGGCAACACAGTGAGACCTTGTCTGTACAAAAAATAAGAAAAATTAGCCAGGTGTGGTGGCATGTGCCTGCAGTTTCAGCTACTTGGGAGGCTGAGGCAGGAGGATCACTTGAGCCCAGGAGTTGGAAGTTGCAGTGAGCTATGATCATGCCACTGTACTCCAGTCTGGGTGACAGAGTGAGACTCTGTCTCTAAAAAATAAAAATAAAATTGTCATTGGAATTCTCTTCCAACTCATTCCATACAACCTTTCATCAGGGATTTGGTTCTTAATGATTTTACCACTTCCCTTGGTAGTCTGCTAGAAGGCTTCTATGGTAACTTATTTTCCCTGCCAACAGCAGGATTTCATCAAAGGGGCAGTAGAGCGTAGTAGGAATTCAGGCTTCAGAGACCTGGGTTCAAATGTCACTCCACCACCTTGGCCAAATTATTTAACCTCTCAAAGCCTCAGTATTCTTATCTACCAAATAGAGACAATAGTATTTATTTACCTTATGGTTGGCTATGAATATTACATTATATTATGAATGTAAAATGCATACTATTAATATATTGCCTGGGACAATTTTAAAAATCTAGTAAATCTTACCTATTACAAGGATCAAATAGTGTAAAGGTAAAAGAAGCTGGGGGAGGGGAGGGATGCTAAAAGACAATTCTTATTTTATAGTTTAGCTATGATAAACTCTATTTACCTTCAAATATGAGTGAAACAATAAAAATTATGCTTGAAGGTGTTGAAAAGGAATAGACTATACTGTCAGTCAAATTTGTTGAGTGATTACTATGGCCAGGAAATGGAACAATGACTGAGGCATGACCCCTACCTTCAAGAGTCTTAGAGTCTAGTTTCTCCTTTAGTAAAGCTTCAGAAGCCACCGTTACCCTACTCTCATAGGGATGTAGTAAAAATAAATAGGTGAAATTCTGAAATAATGCAGGTCTGTTAATTTCTCAAAATAGAGTTAGAAGGGAGCATAAAAAAATCTGTTCTATCTTCAGATGGGTGAAAATCTGGAAGGTGTTGTAAGAAGTAAGAAGGATCACTGCTGCTAGAATATTATTCTAGTACTGTTTCAAATCTAGAAAAGAAATGCCAAAGAAATACTATATATATAATAAAAATAATTTGAATAAAAATTATGGTGCAATTGTGTTTCTAGCTCATATGGTTATTTTCTAATTAATATAAGATACTATCATTTGAAGCCACTAAATCCCAACAAAAATGAAATATGCAAATAAATTATGGTACTTATACTGTCAGGATTAAAAATCAGTTTTCCAAGGACTCAGTAATGACATGGGAAAATGCTTTATGAAAAATGAAAAAAAGCAGGCCTAGATATAGTATAGATCTAATTTTTTTAGAAGTAGAAAAGTATACAGAAGGAAACAAATAGTTGGATGGTGAGATTATAAGTAAATTTATTTTCCTCTTGAAACCCCTTTTGAATAAAATTAACATTTAAAAAAAAAAACATGGTTCAGGCTCTTAAAATACTTGAGGCTCATGGTGCATTAGGTTTCAATTTAACATAAGTCACATTAAAAATCTGTTTAGGTAGGCTACCGCAAAACAGATACAGACATAAGACAAAAATTGGTAACTTGAAAGGGGGAAAACTTTCACTACTAATTTAACTCATATAGTATATAAATTATCATATATCCCTGCCTGTAAGGACTGACTAGAGCTCAACAAATAACATGCATAAATCTAATTCTGGCAGATCACTAAATCATACCTTGAGAATAGCTATAAGCTCGAGAAGGATCAACTATTATGTGTGATTCCTGAGAATGTTTTTCCATCACCTCTACTGTATCACTGGATGAAGATGATGATGAAGACAATCCCAGTCTAACATATCTTCCTTTTTTACCACAGAGTGAACAATCTACTGGCGTGGCACTAGGTCCCCGGGGCAGTTGAATTTCATCTCTATTGTAGTTTCTGACAGCTCCACTATGATGAACAGAGCGTTCTCGTTGCCAGATATAATGGGTTGGTGCGATGGCCATAACCTGTAGTGGAAAGCATACTTTTAGAATTTTAATAAGATTTTAGAATTTATTAAAATTCAGTACAAAAATTATAACTCAAGAACAGCTGTCTCTAAAGTAGAGATAAAAATCCAAGTTACCGATTTAAAAAACATAACATTTCTAGATAAGGCAGTATTACTATAAAGTGATTCTTTGCTTGGATCATTAAGGCAATAATTGACAAAGTATTTAAATTATTTCAAATAGAAAATAGAACTGAAGCAAACTTCCAAGTTGTCAGGGTATTTATTTTTTAAATTCTGAATATTCTAAGTTTGGGAAAGATAATACAGTTACCCCCAAACATTACATCATTCTTAACTTTGGAATGTGTTGGCTTAAAAAAATGTGATTGAGGTTCCCAGCTGTGTGTTAGGCTACTCTTAAAATGTTTGCAGTTATGGCAAGTGATATGGTGAATAAGAACACAGGTAAGTTACTGAACCTCTCTGTTCCTTGGTTTCTTCATCTGTAGTATGGAGATGATAATTGTGTCTATTTTAGAGAGGTGTGATGAGGATTAGATGAGGTCTTATTAATAAAGCTTCAGTATCTGTCAGGCATCATTCTATAATGTTTGTTAAATAAAACGTGGGCTTTAGAGTCAAGATAGACTTAGTTTCTTATCCTGGCACTGCCACTTAATAGCTGCATGATATTAGGTAAGTTATTTAACCTTTCTGAGGTTCAATTTCTTCATCTCTAAAATGGGAATACTGTCTACCTTGATCGCAGTGGTATGACATTTCACTGTAGCCTCAAACTCCTGGGCTCAAGTGATCCTGCCACCTCAGCCATCTGAGTAGCCGGGACTACAGGTGCACACCACCACGCTTGGCTGTCTTCTCTTAGTTTTAGTGATTTGGTGCCTTTGGTGAGTGTTCTTAAAATTCTATACTTGGCCCTCTGTTTTTTCTCTATATCTATTCTACCTCCCTGTGATCTTAAGAGGTAGTATAGTATAAGTGTTAAAAGTAATGACTGCCTAAGTTTGAATATACTGGTGTACTGCTTTGCTAATTGCATGTCCTGGGAGAAGTCACATAACCTCTCTGTGCCTTAGTTTCCTTATCTGGGATTACCTGGCTAGCTCTAAGAATTGTTGTGAGAGTTAATACACACACAGTACTAAGAACAATGCCTGGCAAGTTCTTAAAAAGTATTAACATTACTTTCATCTTGAATCTCTTATCTACTCTAAGCTTTAAACATCACTTATGTGTTATGATGCATCTTACCATACCTGTTGACCATCATTTAATTATCCAGTTATTACCTTAAATTCATATAAATACCAAATTCCTTATCTTCCCAATAAGCCGGCTTGCTTCTGTAGCCTTCCCTATTTCTGTTATGGAATCCATTACTCTTCCTATTATATAGATTTGAAACTGACAGCTCCCTCTCCCATATGCCCTATATCCAACTGGTCACAAAGTAATGATAATTTTATAACATTTCTAACATCGATTTCATTTTTGATATCAAAATGAAATGCTATCAGTCTTGTTCACATCCTTGCTTCCTCAGCTATAATACCAAGTTTAGCAGTTTCCAGTATATTCCCTATATTGGGTTTCTTTTGCCTACCGTCATTGGATTATTCTGTCCAAACATACTGCTTATATTACAATCACTGCTTTCTAAATTCCGTATCTGGAATAAAGTAACAACTAACAGAGAACTCAGCTATGATGATATTGTGGCATCTCAGCCAGAGTACACAACTGGAATAGAGAAAAACTTCCTCTTGATTAAATTACTTCCCTCCATGATGCATGAAAGGGGCTCCAATTGGAATCTAGGCATCCTCCCTAAGCTGTGAACCAGTCTAGAAATTAGGCCATCACCAGTGTAAATAAATTCCATCACAAAGGAGCCAATGTCCAAAGAGGTAACCTTATTGTAAGAAGATAATCAGATCACAGTAAGTAGGGAAATAATTTTATTCTTTTCTGGATAAGCCCTACATATATTTTTCAATTTAATCTTACCCCATCTCTTTCCAAAAAAAGATTTGAGGCAACTGACAAAAAGAGAAAAAAAAGTCACTGGGCTTGTCTGAAGGTAGTGAGTTACCTCAATTGATTGTTCACAGTTACAGATCGAACTCCTTGTTCTACTCTTTCCCCCTTCTCACTACTGCACTTGGCTAGTCTTTAAAAAAAGAAAAAGAAAAAGTCATTGAACTGGGACCCAAAAGGGAAAATTGGACTAAAGCAGACACACCAGCAATAAAATGTAATAGAGTTGATGTGGTTAAGGATAATACCTGGCTCGTAGCTTCTTTGCAGCCAAGGTTAAAAAGAGAAAAGAAACAAATTATGAAACTCATTATTATCTGAAAGGACAGCATATGTTCTTTCTTTTGACAGTGGTGTATGATGGAAAGAGTGCTGAGTTTAAGTATAGCTGGCTCTGCCACTTATTAACTTTATGGCCATGGACAAGTCACAATCTTTCTAAGCCACAGTTTTTTTATCTGTGAAATGGAAAGAATACTTATGCTATTTAATTCCCAAGACCAACATAAGACATAAATGCATATTCTAAACTAACCAATATGAGAGGTTTATATGGAGGCTAGATATCACAGAGAAAACAGAACACCGGAAGTCACTAGATGTGAAGTCAAGTTCTGGCTCTGCCACTTACTTGTATGATCTTGAGTAAATACTATCCTCCTTTGTTCTCAGTTTCATCAGCTGTAAAATGAGAATCCCACTACCCTCACAGGTATTTGTGTGCTAACATATATGATAATATTTGTAATTTGTAAAGCACTATGCAAAGGTAAATTATTATTATTGTAAGCCAGTTTGTAGCTACTATCCTAACTTGAGTTTATTTTAGGATATGGGACTAAAGAAATGTTTCATTTGGTAGTATACCTGTACTGGGCTTTCAATACAAATGCACGGAATGCTTACATTTCTAGCAGCATGTCTTGCTACTTAAGCAAACATTAAGGTAGGGATGATATAATAAACATTCACACCCACTGTGCTGGCTATAAGAAATGGACAGTGGACAGTGCAGAGTGAGCTCAGTGAAGAATTATTTTATAGTTTATTTCATAGATAAAAAAGATATGAAAAAAGAATTGAAAACTTTTAAGTTCCATTCATTCTATCAGTAAGCAAATATTTACTGAGTATCTACTATGTGCCAGGCACATAGTTTCTTATCCTGGCACTGGAGAAAAATTAGAACAAAATGAAGACCCTGACCTCTTGGAATTTATATTTTAGTGGGGGCAAATAGATATTAGCAAGATAAGTAAAAGAGAGTATATTATATGGTGGTTGAGTGCTGTGTAGAAAATTGGAGCTGAGAAAGGGAACACAGAGTAATAGCAGGAGAAACTACTTTTTATTTTAACAGCTTTATTGAGATATAATTCAAATACCATACAATTCACCCATTTAAAATGTACAATTCAATGACATTCAGTATATTCAGTTGTACAACCATCACCACAGTCAATTTTAAACATTTTCATCACCCCATAAATAAAGCAACCATACCCCATTCCTTCCTTCCCTCAGCCCCCTGGTAACCACTAATCTACTTTCTGTCTCTATGAATTGTCTATTCTAGACATTTCGTATAAATCATACAATAAGTGGTCCTTTGTGATTGGCTTCTTTCACTTAGCATAATATTTTCAAGGGTCACTCATGTCGTAGCTTGTACTTTCTTCCTTTTAATTGCCAAGTAATATTTCATTGTGTGGATATACCATATTTTGTTTTTATCCATTCATCAGTTGATGGACATTTGGGTTATTTCCACTTTTGGCTATTAGGAATAATGCTGCTATGAACATTGTGTACAAGTTTTTGTGTGGATATAGTTTTTATTTCTTTTGGTTATACAGCTAGAAGTAGAATTTCTGGGTCATATGGTAGCTCTATGTTTAGCCTTTTGAGGAACTGACAGACTGTTATCCAAAGCAATTACATCATTTTACATTCCCACCAGAAGTGTAAGAGGCTTCCGATATTGACATATCCTTGCCAACACTTGTTATTATTTTTGTTTATAGACATCATGGTGGGTGTGAAGTGATATCTCATTGTGCTTTTGATTTGCATTTCCCTGATGGCTAATGATGTTGAACATCTTTTCATTTGCTTTTTGGCCATTTGTATATCTTCTTTGGAGAAATGTCTGTTTGGATCCTTTGCTCATTTTTTAATCAGGTTGTCTTTTTATTATTGAGTTGTAAAAGCTCTTTTTATTATTCTAGATATAAGTCCCTTATCAAATAGATGACTTGCAAAAAGTTTTCTCCCATGTTTTGGGTTGTCTCCTCATTTGCTTTTTTTTGAAGGACAAAAGGTTTTAATTTTGATGATGTCCACTTTATATTTTCTTTTGTTGCTTATACTTTTGGTATCATATCTAAGAAACCTAATTCAAGGTCATGAAGATTTACTCCTATGTTTTCTTCTAAGAGTTTTATGATCTTAACTCTTAAACTTAGGTCTTTGATCCATTGTGAGTTAATTTTTATATATGGTATAAAGCAGGGCATCCGACATCATTCTTTTGCATGTAGATATCCAGTTGTTCCAGCACCAACTGTTGAAAAGACTATTCTTTCTCCATTGAATTTTCTTAGCATCCCTGTCAAAATTCAATTGAACATAATTGGAAGGGTTTATATCTGGACATTTCAATTCTATTCCATGGAGGGAGATATTACTTTATATAGCGTGATTGGGAAAGCTCTTTCTGAGGTGACATTTAAGCAGAATGCTGAATGTAGTTAGGAAGTGAAGCATACTATCATCTGGGGGAAGAGCATTCCAGTTAATGGGAATGGCAAGTATAAAGACCCTGAGGTGGGAAGGAGTGTGCCTGGTATTTTTGAGTAACAGTAAGGAGGCTAGTCCAGTTAAGAGTAGAGTTAGCAAGGATATAAGATGAAGTCAAAGAGACAGAGAAGAGAGTTGGTAGATCATGTAGGACCACGATAAGGACTTTGCCTTTTAGCCTGTGTGAGATGGGAAGCCACTGGAGGCTTTTGAGTAGAGTAGCCATGATTTGACTTACTTTTTAAAAAAAGTTAACTCTGGCTGCTGTATGAAGAGTAGATAATAGGGGAGAAAGATTATAAGAAAGACTATTTGGAAGCTTATGGCAATAATCAAGGCAAGAGATGATAAAGTAGGGTGTCAGTGTGCAGGTAGTGACAAATGGTAGGATGCTGGATATATTTTCAAGGTATGGATGTGAGAAAAGGAAGAGTCAAGGGGAACAGTTTTTTGGCCTGAGCAACTAAAAGGATGAAGTTGCTATTTATTTTATTTATTTATTTATTTTTTGAGACAAAGTCTCACTGTGTTGCCCGGGCTAGAGTGCCGTGGCATCAGCCTAGCTCACAGCAACCTCAAACTCCTGGGCTCAAGCGATCCTCCTGCCTCAGCCTCCCGAGTAGCTGGAGCTACAGGCATGCGCCACCATGCCCGGCTAATTTTTTCTATGTATTTTTAGTTGTCCAATTAATTTCTTTCTAATTTTAGTAGAGACGGGGTCTCGCTCTTGCTCAGGCTGGTTTCAAACTCCTGAGCTCAAACAATCCGCCCGCCTCGGCGTCCCAGAGTGCTGGGATTGCAGGCATGAGCCACCGCGCCCGGCCAAGTTGCTATTTATTACTGTGTGGAAAACTGCAGGAGGAGCAGGTTTGGACATCTGTGTAGGGGAATCAGGAGTTCCCCTAAGGTATCAATTAGACAATAAAATATCAATAGGCAATTTGATATGCAAATCTGGAATTGTGAGAAATCTGTTAGTTTCAGTGTTAAAGTCTTGGGAGTGAATGAGATCACCTAGTGAGCTAATGTCAATAGAGAAGAGAAGAGAATAGCTCCTATGACTGAACCCTGGGGCATGCTAATGAAGTTGGCAAGGTGAAAAGGAACTAGCAAAAATGGCTGGAAAAAAACCCTGGTATCCTCGAAACCAAGTGAAGAGAGTGTTTTAGGAAGAAATGAGTGACTGTGTCAAATGTTGCTGTTAAGTTTAGTAAGCTGAAGACTAAGAACTATCCTTTGGATTTGGCAATATAGAGATATTTGGTGCCTTGACAAGTTTATATGGAATGATGGGGGAAAGACTTTGTATAACAAGTTGAAGGAGATTGGAAGGAAAGGAAGTGGAGACAGAGTACAGTCATCTCTTTAGGAATTTAGTAGTAAGAGAGGCAGAGCAGAGAAATTTAGTGGTAGTTGGGGGATGAAGTTTTTGTTTTTACTGATGGAGATATTAGAGCAATTCTATATTCTGATGGCAATGGTTGAATAAAATTAAAAAATGTGAAATGCCAGAAAGGAGGACAATTACTGGAGTGATGTCCTTGAGAAGGCAAGAAAAGATGAGATGTAGGGCACAAATAGAGGGAATGGACTTGGATAGGAGCAAAGATAGTTCTTTCACAGTAACAAAGGGAGGACAGAATATATGGGTACACGTGCAGGTAGGATGGTAGATATAGTGGAAGCATGCTGACATTCTTTTCTATTGTTTCCATTTGGTCAGTAGAAGAGAATTATGCATGATTGTTGTCAATGGAGTGAGAGGAGAGAGATGGGAGATATTAGAAGTGTACTAGATGTTTGACTTCATTAAATTTACAGTTTATAGTTTAAACAGCCAATAAGCAAGCAAATAAATAATTACAAATCTTGTTCAGTACTAGAAAAGGAAACGAACAAGGTATTGTGATAGAGGATAAAAGAAACTCCTTATTTAAATAAGGTAACCTTTTTGAAGAGGAAAAACTTAAGTTCTGTTAATCATTTAAAAAATGTTGATAAATTTTAAAATTATGAAAAGCATAAGGAAAAATATAACAAACATCTATATTCCTACTTCCCAGAATTAATAGAAGTTAATATTGCCATTTTGGCTTCAAGTTTTTTTTTTTTTTTGGGACAGGGTCTCACTCTTTTGCCCGGGCTAGAGTGCAGTGGTGTCATCATAGCTCCAACTCCTGGACTCAAGTGATCCTCATCCTCCTGCTTCAGCCTCATGAGTAGCTGCATGCACCACTATGCACGGCTAGTTTTTTTATTTTCTGCAGACATGGGGTCTCCCTATTGCCCAAGCTGGTCTCAAACTCCTAGGCTCAAGTGATCCTGTGGCCTCGGCCTCCCAAAGTGCTAGGATTATAGGTGTGAGCCACCATGCCCGGCCAAGCCTTTTATAAGTTAAAAGAAATAAGATAATGTCTGGTAGGTATTTACTAAGTATTCATTAAATTGATGTATATTAATGAATAAATGAATTCTATCAAATGTTAAGAAACAATCTAGCTTGCCCAGCAAGAGCTTAGGCAGTAAAAAACTTATAAAATAGAACTTTGCACTCTCAAAAGTTGGAAGGAAATTTAGTGGCAATCTAGTTTAATTGCTTATCTGAAGCATGAATCCCCTCTATAACAAACTGCTTGTTTTTTTAAAAAATCACCAGTGACAGAAATCACTGCCTTTGAAAGAGTCTATCTCATTTTCAGATACTCGTTAGGATAATATTCTTCATATTGAGCTATTACTGCCTGTTTTTCTTTTTCATCCACAGATCTGAATTCTCTGATTTATAGCCAAAAAAGACAAATCAATTTCCTGCCCTACTGTGGTCCCACAAATACTTGAAAACAGCTAGCAAGCTTTCTGGATCTTCTTCATACTAAAAATCTCTGAGCCTTTTTATTATTCCACAAATGACATTTTTCTTTTTGAGACCCTGCTCTATTCTAGTTGTTCTCCTCTGCATATAGCTGTTGGTCGAGTCTTCTTAAAGTATGGTGTGCACAACCAAATGCAGTATTTTAGGTATAATCTGATGATTACCTCCTCTTTTCTGCAGCCTAACTCCAAACTTTTCTGTAAGTTCGATTACACACAACTTGGTTCACAGCTGTCTGAAAGTTTTTAGTCTTTTACACATACACTATTAAGTTACATTCTTCTCTTTGGCTCTTTTATAGTCTGATGCCAGCAGCTGAGGTAATTCCCAGCTCCAATGTTAGTGTATACTAACATTGTTGCCGTTAAAATGCTAGTCATTGTATCTTGGCGGTAGTAGGTAGGTGTAGATAGGCGGTCTCTCATGAGGTAAGCTACTACCAGTCCTAGCTTCTTCCTTCTGGTGCCCCCTCTATACTTTTAGCTGAATGTCTAAAAGGGCCTGAAGCCTTTACTTTGAAAAAATCAGAGCACTCAAATAGGGCTGGCTATCAAGTCCAAGGACAACAACAGGTTTGCAAATTATCCACACCTGACCTGGGTAAGTAGTGTCAAAACTCAATAACAATACAGAACTCTTTCCATGGCCTGTAATTGGAATGAGTGCAGTTTAAAAACTTTATTGAGGATTCCTTAATTTGGGGACGTCTTATACACCTAACTTTTCTTCTTTTTCTATTGAATTTAATCTTGTGAAGACTTGTCCTGCTGTACTGTCTTCTTATTTGCTGTGTCTTCATTTCATTAATAAACATAGTTAACAAGGTTAGCTCTGGGCAGAATCCTGAGACACACCACTAGACTCTTCTCTCAAGTTTGACACTCCCAACTCCCCGTGGGCCTGCGAGCGCCCGCCCCTTGAGGGGGCCAGGCCGCGGGGCCTGGGAGTGGGTGCTAAAAAAAAAAAGAAAAAGGCGCTGGTATATGTTCACAATGGAATATTACTCAATCATAAGAAATGACAGTGATCTAGTACCTCTTACACTTTCCTGGATTAAACTTAAGCCCATTAT